CTTAGGCTTCACCCAGTCTCCACTCTCTTGTCATAACTTCCATCTTATGCTATAAAAAATTGCCCACGGTCCGAGGCGTCAATATCGCCACTTCCGGGCCCATTATCCCACCCAGCCAGCCACCATTTTTCTCATTTATCATTGTTTTGGCGGGTCCGGCCAGGTGGCCGGTTAGCGAGAAAGACTTGGTTGGGGATCAGCCCGAATTTTTGCGGGATTTGTGAAAGGCGAAAAACAGAATAGCATCGGCGAGAGAGAACGGTCAACAATCGACTATGATCGTCCAAGCACTCAGCAAGAATCCAGGGGTTTTTGAAGAACAATGTGTGTGGCTTTCCCAACCCATTTCTGCTAGCTCTCCCTGTACTTCCCGCTGACGTGGTCTCGACCTCGATGTCCATAAGCGGATACTTCTTCAGACCTTTTTCTCTATTTTGGTCCTTTCACCTCCAAAATTCCCCTTCCGGAACTCCACCGGAAATTCGGAATCCGTGCCGAAACCGGGAAGTGCCATTTTCCAAACTGCAGATTATCGAAAATCCAACGTCGAAATTTCCAAACTACCAACGTCGGGATTATTTTTATAGTTGGCTCACGGCCAAGTATGTCTTTTTCCCGGAAATACCTACTTAATTGATTGTTTTAAGAGGTGACAGGGGCAACCGGGAAGGAAAAGACGATTTTCCGGAAAGGGGCGGAGGCTATTTATGAGATTCGTTGAGTGCTGACGACTTTCGGACTATAGCTCACACTTTATTTGTCGCACATGGCTTCCAATGACAAAGGACAGTTGCGATTTTCGAATATGCCAGGGAGAACGTAGACTTTGAGGGCCCGGACTGGGAATATTCTAGCTTGTTGTCCTTAACGAATTAAGGGAGGTATGTACGCGACTTCCGTGTGGTTTACAAGCTTCGAGTTCCAGCCGCTCTTTATATAGTCGACCTATGATTAGGCTTAGTTTTAGGCTTGGGCTTGGGTCTAGGCTTGGGCTTAGGCTAGGGCTTGGACTTAGGCTCAGGTTAGACTTACGTTAGGTTTAGCCTTAGGCTTGAGCTTGGGCTTCAACGTAAGCCAAGCTTCGGCTTTTAGCTTCTTCGTCTTTTTTCCCAAAATTTTTTGAGAGTTACTTCTTTATCCTCATTCCTTCATAAAAAAAATCTTAAAACCACGATCATGAAACCGTGGCCAAGAAAAAACTCGTTTGGTATACTTAAAGTACGCTTCCATCGTTTCTCCAATTATGCTCGATTGCACAATAGGCACAGTCTTTCGAAATACCTGTCCCTAATTGCCGCCATTGTCGTCAAGCCCGCAGTATTTTTCCATAACCCTAAATTTCCTGTCATTTAGCGATCCAAAAAGTCAAAAGCCAACGCAAATTGCTGGTTTCCATGGTCCTCAAAAAGCTCTTGACGCTCGCAGATTTTCTCAAAAACCGTGATTTCCGTTAGTGAACCATGGCAGGGCATTCATTCTGACACTTCGCATGTTTGGTTGGGAGGAATCACGTCGGCATTTACTATATTTGATGTCTTCCCTCTCAAAATCTGATATTAAAAAGAGTGAAACGGAAAGATTCTGCTGGTTTTGATTTTTTTAAAGGGATGGTGACATCTCAGCATAAGGTAGCGCGTAGTAACACCAGAACGAACTTCTCTCGCTCTATCTCTCTCGCATTACATTATTGTTACATTTTCGCGTTTGACCTCTACTTTCTAGTCTTCAAATCGTGCGCACGTACCTCCCCCAGTAACTCAATTTTCACACGTCCCGTTCTTATTTTGTCCGTTCGCCTCCGAATTTCCGCTTTCCGTCTGTTTCGCCCTCTGATCAGTTAAAAGGATTCCATTTTCCTTCCTTTTATTCTTTTCTCCAACCAGGGGGTGCAATTAAATTAGCCCATCTGGGTGTTGGGACGTCGCTCGAGCGAGCGCAGGGGCTCCTAAAAATTCAGGTTTCAGAATTGTCGCGCCCCCTTTGGTCATAACAAGGCCGTCCCATTGCTCGGCAGCAGGGGGCAATTTTTGCCAATTGTTGCCAATTTCATAGGATTGTCTATTGACGCCGTTTTTGTTAGGGAAATACGTTCTTTGATGGCTAGGAAAGATGGCAAAAAGGAGGTGAGAATGAGAGAGAGAGACAGAGATAGAGTGAGAGCGAGAGCGCGAAGAGAGAGAGAGAGAGAGAGGAGAGAGAGAGAGAGAGAGCAATTCAGATGAGAATCATCTATTGAATAGGTCAATTCCGGGAAGAAAACAGAGGCTCGTTAGACGTATCTGTGCTCCCGCGGCACAAAACGAGAGCCAGATAATTATAATCTGTGGCCCGCGAGAATCTGCTAAAGGTCGAGGCTCTGCTATTAGAAAAATTTTGGTAGCTTTGCGTCTTTACTGGCCAAGATCTGTAAAAACGTCGTATTTTCCAGGTTTTAGTGTTTTTGGCGAATTGTAAAATTAGCTTACCGTAGCCCATACCCGGCGATACAACCAGATTTCTCCCCAGAAATCCATGTTTTTTACCTCACGAATCTGTTAAGATTGTAAGAATCACTGCTAGCGGGCCTCGGTTTTTTTCTTCATGCGCAATCCTAGCAAAAAAAAAGCAAAAATTTGGCGATTTTCTACTTTTCTCGGTCTGCCAGTGCTATTTTTGATCCCAAGTTCATCCTACCAGATCCCAAGACCAACAAACACCAAAAAAGTTTCGAATTTCCCATCTCCGATCCGATAGCGAACCGACCCCGCCGGATTATCTTTCCATCCCACCCGCGGCGTTCTCTTGCTCGTTTCCATTTTTTTATTTTTTATCCATCTCGGGCGATCTGGCGTTCATTATTTGTGTCCTCTCCCAATTCTCATTTTCGGGATTTGCCGAACCAAACCCTTATCATTCAGAGTTCTCTCCTAACCCGCCAAGGGGAGGAGCTTCGGTGACTTTTAAAAATGTCCGACGCCGGCTCCCTTTTCTGCTGCTGTAAGTTTTTGATGGGGTTTATCGTACCCGATTTTTGGCTATTTTTGGGTTTTGGATGTTGTCTTGGAGTATCTTGTGATATTTTAAGGGCGTGGGTCATCCTTAAAACCGACCTTCGTTTGATTGGGGCTCGACAGCTACGCGAAAAATCAAATTACGCTTCCAATTAGTTTTTAAGCGCTTTAACAAAGGCAATACTGGGGAGGATTTTCCCTTTTTTGCTGAAAGCTCTATAAAAGTACGTTTTTTTCCTGTTGCGTAGCTGTCGACACCTAGTCGGGAGGACTGGTCAATTTTGAAGCCTGCTCGGCCATCTAAAATCTGGGATTTTAGCGGATAACCGTTTGAAGCGAGCTACTTTCAAATTGTCGAACAGATTCATATGTCGAAATCCGAAATGTCGACATTTCGGAATTTTGAGTTTACACAAGAGAACATCCTTAAATTTCCCCAAAATCTACGCAAAAAATCGACATTCAGGAATATCGACATTATGAAATTTCGATATTACGAACTTCCGCATGACATCAGATAGTTTTGAGCGTTTTTTTAAGTTTTGAAGCCAAATTCTAATTTTCCAAGCACAAATTTCGAAATTCTAGCAATTTTATCGTTTTTTCATCGATCAGAAAATTTTTTTGATTTTTAGTTGTTTTTTAGTGCATTTTCATCCAAAGCCTTACAAAATCCAAACCGTTCATTGGGCTCTTGACGGTCAAGGCCTCCCATTTTTTCCGCTACAATCCCCTTTACTACCCCCAAAATTCCGCGCAACACCTGTTTACAACACCCATAAAACTGGGATTTGGGTTGCGGGGAGGGAGGATTTGCCCGGTCCGAATAGCGGGTGAACATAAAAATTAGGGCGGATGCCCCGCCATTCGGGAGAGTGTATTTACTACAAAGCCGCCGAAAAAAATTCACTAACAATCAGCCGGGCCGGCCGGCCCGTTCAGGGATTATGCCAGCGGTCCTAATCTCTCGCTGCATTTTTTCGGGAGTTTTTCTGGATGGCAGGGGTCACATGTGGGTGGACTCGCCGGCCAGGGGAGGAGGGAAATTTTTCACACCACCAACAATGGACACACGCACAGAAACAGAAACAGATCATTTTTCGATCTCGTCTGCTTGGGTCAGGCGTGGTTTTTCGGAACCGCATCATACTTGTTAAATGTTTTTGAAACTTATTACTATTTTTTAATAGTTTTTAAAGCTTATTTAAAGAACCCCGGAAAGCAAAACCATTTTTTCGACAAGATTGTTAGAAATTATTCAGTGACTTATTTTGCTCTACAGTAGCTACTGTAGTCTGCTGTAGTGCTCATTTAAAGGGAACAGAAAAGAAGCTTGCGCCTAGCTTTTGTTGCCTATAGGTTTTTCTAAACTTTTGCCGCACCCGCGACGCGTGACGCGTACGGTGTAAAGGGCGTACTCGCGTGTCACGGGCATGCGCTTTACGGCATAGACGTGCGCGTTGCGCTTCGCGCGTGCGGCAAATCATAGCGAAGCGAAACGCAATGAAATCCATACCTAGACTTCCCGGCTTCTATAGGACGCTTTTCCTAAGCATCGATTCGTTTCCTAAATGTTCTCTGCTAGCTAGAGCTCAGCCTATTCTCGTCCATGGATTGGTAAATTCTAGAGACAGATTTATTGTTAAACATTTTTGATATTTTATGAGAATTTTTACATTTTTGTGGGTGTGAAGGAAGATACAAAACCTGTTTTTACCAACAAAATAACCCCAGCTAGCTTATAAACCAAAGAACACGGTCCCTTTGGCCAATCCCAGGGCTTCCACCCTAAAAATTAATTACCCGCGCCCTTTCCCCCAATAGCCATATTAGCCAATTTTAAATAAGCCGCTCGAATGTGGGCGTTTTGACGTCAAAGCTATTTTTGAGGCGTCTTCCGGAAGGCCATTATACGTGTTTTTTTTTCAGGTCGCCAGGGCAGCTCGAGACGTTCGGAGGAGGAGAGGGCGCGTCGCTTGGGAAATCATACGACAGCGTCGACTCGAGCAAATGTACACTCGGACACGGTAGGGGTTTTAGCACATTTTGGATCGTAAGATCTATAAACACCGGGGAGGCTAGCAGAGATTATTAGTGAAAGGCCTTAATGGTCCGATGTTTGCAAATTTTTTAAAATTTCCGATTTTCTAGGTACTACATGATCTCGCAAACGGAATTACAGCATTTTGAAAATTACGACATGAAAACGGGTCCGTCATTAGGTGTAGTCGGAATTTTATTCTAGGAATTTCTAATTCGATTAGCTTGTTTCCAGTTCGAAAATCAGGTGCTGGATTGTTAGCGGGGGGGGGGGGTTCTGGGAGAGCTTATATTTTTAATTCTTATCTAGATCTCCCTGTTAATACTATATAATATATTTTGTAGCTGTATTAGCTGGTATTTTTGGCCATTTCTCATGCAAATTTGAACCAAAACTCAAAATTGCGAAAAATCGAAAAATCGAAAAATGATTTTGTTTTATAGGTTTTATTACCTCCAAAACATGCATTCAAAAAATATATTAATCGAAATGGATTATATTTCGTCGTAGTGCCGTGGAAGACAGAAAAATGCGCCCCCCCCCCCCGCTAACAATCCAGTACTGACACTCACACTCTAAGCGTTTTGGATCTAACATTACGATCAGAAAATCGGTCCGTCATTAGGTGCAATCGGAATTGGACCAACATTTGGAATGAGCATGAGCAAATAATCATCAATAAAATTTTAATTTCCGCATCCAGTTGCGCAATCTTTGCCAGACAATGAGCCAATCACGGCGTTATATCAATCCCCAGATCTACGCAAAACCTTTTCTTTCCGTTCTTTTCCCATTGACGCCTTCTCGTGTCTCTCCCCCTACATTCAGAAGCCCTAAAACAATAGTGTAATGCGGAGGAGTGGGCCACATTTGCAGAAAATCCCCCCCTGGCCCCACCCGGTCATCTGCCCCAGAAAACTGTTTGCGCGGAGACTAGAGGCTGCGTCAATTTTAATCTCAGCCGCCGGGCCCTCCCCCAAAAAATTGACCAAAGAAAAAGCTACCGTAGCCCCGCCCGAATGCGCGAATATAAAGGGCGCTGCGAGATGGGGATAATCCGGATTATTCCGCGGGGCTCCCCTTCACACTTGCTCTGATCCCGAGTTGTCGGCTACTTCCTGCTGGGACCCCGAATTCTAATAAATCTAACCCGTTAATTCCGATATAAACTTTAAAACTACTTCATTTTGCTAGATGGATCAGCTACTGTAAGTTTCGGGGTTAATGTAATTGATTTAGTTGCCGGGTATACTGTAGATTAATTTTTTTAAATTAGCTTTTGGAATACGGTAAATTTTAAGAAATGACTTTAAAAGGCTGTTTTAAATGGCAAAAGTGTTATAAAGCTGTAATAAATTTGATCATGATAATTCCGGCTTAAATTGCATCAAAATTGAACATTTGCCGTTTTATTTAAGCAGCCTGAATTTTATTCTATTTTCTGCTTTGTTTAATGAAGTTTAATGAGCACGGTAGTTTCAAAAAATAATTTTTGGTCCATTTTAACTGAAAAATACCTTAAATTTGAGAGAAAAAATCATTACAATTTTTGGAATTTTCTATCCGATTAAATCTCATTTTTCCAGTCAACCCAGCGGCAACCTGCGCAAAATCTCCGAAATCAACGAGCAGGACGAGGCCATTGAGCAGCACATCGTCTTCAACCCACGCGAGAATGGATTCACCGTACTGAGGAAGCTGTCCGAGGTACGGTAGCTATGATACTTTACCTCTTTATTGCACCAAAGCGTATTCCAAAGCGTACAGTATACTGCATGGTACCCATTTTCTAGCGGCTCTTCCGCAGCAAGAAGGTAGCATTATTTTTAATCTACATCTCTAATAATACAAAATTTAATCCTATACTAAATTATAGCTTACTAACAGTCGAAAAACGCTTCAGAATAATGAAACACTATCTCAGTTTTCTAAAATATGGGTTTTTCGGGTTCAGGGCTACGGTAACTGCTGCAGTAATTGAGTTAAAAATTTTTTATGTTAACTTGGATTCCAGGAAGACCAAGAAGACAGCGGCCACGAATCGGATGGCCGTACGGAAAGTGAGGCTGATACGGAACTTCCCTATGGACGACGAGAGGGGAAGGAGAAGCATCACGGAAAGGTGTGAGAGAACGAGAGAGAGAAAGAGAGTGAGCGAGAGAGGAAGAGTGGACAGAGAGAGAGAGAGCGAGAGAGAGAGAGAGAGAGAGAGCGAGAGAGAGAGCGAGAGTGTGAAGTGTGAGAGAAAGCAAGAGAGAGAGAGAGAGAGAGAGAGAGAGAGAGAGAGAGAGAGAGAGAGAGAGAGAGTGAGCGTGAGCGAGAGACAGAGACAGATAGGCAGAAAATAAACCATCGGACCCACCCTTAATTTTCATATTTCCAGGTCTACAACATGCTCCGATGGGTGGCCACTGTTGGCAAAAAGAAGTCACCAGCCCCCGAAAAACAATAACCCAAATTTTTACCTTTTTAACCCCACGAATCTACTTCGTATATCTCCGTATATCTGTACCCGAAAACCGGTTTCCCCCACGCGATGAGTTGTGATGAAAAAATCTCCCCTTATGGACAAAAAACAGCTAAAAACAAAAAAAATTCTGTTCGGATTCTGTGCATTTTGTGGGTCCCGTGGACCCGGCGATGTATTTCTTTGGCGAAATTTCTGTATCTAGCCATACAAGAGCAACACGCACAACGAAACCTGTATTTCTATTCTGTCGATTGGATAAATGTTTTTTTGGTGAATTGGGTTTTGGAAAAGGCATCATGCCATTGCTAAAATTGGTAGACAAAAGTTGATTTAAGTTAGGTTATGATTGATTTAGGATTGTTTGGGAAAGCGATGCCTGCACCAATTTTCAAGAGGAAAACCAGTCAGCCATGGTTTTTCCCTTTTTTGTGCACGCGTCGCGCACGCGTCACGGCTTAATCCCAGGCTTTTATCTTGTTAGCTGGCTTTGGCCAACCGGTAATCAAGTTCTTGATGTATTTTAAGAGTGCTCCAAAGTACAGGGTCTGCGTCTTTAAGGCTCCGTGACGATACTTTAAGCGCATGGGAACGAAAAGAGAAAATAAATTGATGCTGGGTTTGATCGTGCATTAATAAGAGGTCTCATGAGAAGCACAAGTTTATTACGTGCTATAGTTTATAGGACAATCCATCCATCTGATTAAAGGGCAATCTTAGATTTTGCGGGGAATTTTTTTAATGACCGATGAAGGCTAGCCTATCGAATCTTGGCTGTGGCTTACGCACTCAGATTCGTAATTTGCCGCTTCAACGAGAGCTCAGTGCTCACCGATTGTCCTTCGCTCGACGCAGTATCCCGTTCTACAAAAAAAAATTAAATTTTGTGGTTTATTACAAAGATGATATTGGATTGATGAAAGATTTTTGATGAAACAACGCTCATTCCGTAGCGCCTGAAATTCTGGAAAAATCCCATCTTACAAAACTTTTGAAACCGTCTTTCTCAGAAGTTTCTCAAAAAATTTACCTCTGTTGGGTGGGTAAAGGAGAAGGAGGAGTGGGTGAGGAGGGAAAATGGGCAAAATCGGCCCTCTCAAAGCAAGTTATTTCTGATCGATTTGATTTGCTCAGAATTTCAAGCTCTCGCAAATGAGCGATGTCACTTCAAAACCAGATATTGCGTGAAAACCACTCCTTGTAAGCCCCAAAAACTAAAACAACCCCAGTACAGACAGGAAGTCAGTATGTTTCCCGCCACCGTTCTTGCTAGATCCGGCAGAAACTACCCGGGTCGGTGCAGGGCCCTGTTTGACAAATGGTCGTTCAGAGGATAGACCGGGAGTGCGGCCCTCTCTGGGCCCTGGGAAAAACCAGCCCCGAGGCGCCACTATCACTCTTTGCTGTCTGTTGTTTCGGCTGTAATCTGCCCGCAGAGGGCCCAACCTTGCTGGCGGATACAAACGAGGAGCAAAAAGCGAACAAGAGACGGTGGATACCGACAAAAAATTTACCTTAGCATTGGCCTGGGGTGGTGGTCCGCTTTCCCTCGATCAGTGATACAAGTGGCTGCTAGTCGCACGAACAAAGCTTTTTGGCTGATTTTTTCGTGATTTTTGAGCTTCTAGAAAATTGCGCAGTTTGTAGTCTAAACAGTAAAGTCATGGAAAGCCTATTTTCAACGTATTTTTGAAAATTAAATATTTTGGGAGATAATTCTTCCGCATAATTTTACAATCAAGTATTTTTTATCCGGCTATGAATTGTTTTATTGGACCTTAAGATCGTAAACCCGACTTCGGGATTGAAAAGTCCTAATTTTTTTTAAACAGTGAAGATTCAAGCCTACGAGAGCGCATATTTACGCATATTTACTGTAAGCCAGGCTACTTTACGTTATTATGCTACGTTATGCTACGCAACGATAATTTATGTCCAACATAGCCTTCATTAATCTGTTATTTTGCTATTGTACTATGCTATTCCAGACACATTTGTTACAATTACAATTTTCTACGCCACACGATGTATACGGCATGCGACTTTAGCTGAACCATGTTAGGCCACGTTACTCTACGTTACTACGCTACTTTCCGCTTCAGACGCAAAGTTACTCTACCTTTATTTTGCGCTATGATACGCTACGTTACGCTAAACTATGCTTTGTTACGCCACATTCCGATAGCTACGCTACGTTACGCTTCAGACGCGATGTTACTCTACCTTTCGCCGTTGTTCGCTATCGTACGCTACCATAGCCTGACCGCACGCTAGCTAGGCTTCATTAGGCCGCGTTCTGCTCGATAGTCTAGTCTATTCCAACCCTAAATTCGTAATAATTGAGGCTGGTGTTGCGATGTCCCCCTACTTGGGCTGTCCAAATTATGTTTGAAGAAGGGCAGCACATTATCTTATCTAACGGCCAATGGGTGGAAGCAGCCCTTTCCCGCATCACAGCTTCTCTTCCCTCCTACGGGTAGGCTAATATCGGCAAACAGTGCAGCCAGCCACAGCCAGCCAGACTTGCCCCAACCTACCGTATTCCCTCAACCACTTGGCCTCGGGGGCCGAATTCCTGGCGTCGTCCTGATAAGCCCATTTCCCCCTGGCGGGGACGCTGTACGAATTCGGTGCGATTTACCGCATGATGTCTGGGGTGAGGCTGGGAGTTGGGATTCGCTAATTCTCACTGCATTTGACTCGGCTTAGGAGACCTAAGCGGCTGAACTTAAGCCCAAGCTCAACCTGATCTCAAGCTTGAGCCCGAGCTTAGGACGAATCCCGGGCCCAAGACTAAGCCTAATCTTGAGCCAATCTTAAGCCTAAGCTCAAGCCTCTGCTCGACCAACGACATCATACTGGCTAAAAATTAGATAATTTCAATACCTCGGTACGGTTTTTAGCATTTTCAGGCCGGAGAGTTTATGTACTCATTTTGCTTTAATAGCACTGCCTCAGCATTAATAGACCTAGCAGCTAAAATCACGAAATTCTCAATGCGGATCTGGGCCCGAAAGTGACCCCTAACAGACCGGATGTCAAAAATTCGCACAGACGTTTCTGATCCCCATCCGTTCCAACAATTAGCTTTAGTCTACGAAAAATGGGTTCCTAATTGATAGTTGTGAACCGGTAATCTGGCGTGTAGTTGCATTTTTTGCAATCTTCAGACACGCCCAAATTGTTCTCTGATAGTTTCAGCAGCCACCCCAAGCTAGCCATATTTATTTTTAGCCTAATTTGCCTCACTTTTGCAACCCCGTAAACCCGTATTCTAGCGGAATCTGCCGCCCGCTCCAGAATCATTTCCCGTCGAGCCGTCGCGTCGGGTGGATGGGTTGTGGGAGAAGATTCCCTATATCCGGGATTGTCGCCTCGGGGACCCCTAACCCCCCACCCGAAAATAGCAACTAATTTTGGAAATTAGTGACACCAGGGAGTGTCGCGTTTTACGCCAGTCCACGCTGCACAGATTACGGTGGGATTTTTGGGGGGCGACGGGGCGGTGGGGTGAGCGTGGGATTTTCGGATAGCTGCTCGGGGTGTTCTTTGGAAAAGCATCGATTTTAAAGGTATATTTTTGTGTAATGGCCGGTGCCGAAAGAACCGCTTTTTTGCTTTTTTGTTTCCAATAATCAGAAATTCTGCTCTGAGGCGTGGTGAAAGAAAAGTGCATTCCATACTTCCCATACGATTTTCGCCGAATTCTTCAGCCTAACTAACAGGGTGCAATATGTTGTAATCGTGTCGAAATCGTATAGTGGCGTGTTCTAGCGTCGTTCAACGTAGTCGGACGTATCATATCAACCCACGTATTGCGCGTACCGCTGCCATACTGTAGCTAAGTGGCTCACTTTGACGCAGCTCATCGCGATGCGCAATATGGATCAGAACGTACTATGTACGTACGTTTCGTACTATGCTGCCCAAGTCATATTTTGCCAAACGAATCGTATTGTCTTGTACCGTATGGCATCGTATTGTATCGGAGCGGAGCATATTCCGGCGCTTTGTATCGTATCGTATCGTACCGGACAGTAGGTATCCATCATATTGTGAGGTATCCTAAGCTACTGTGTATTCAAGCAGAGGCTATTGTGCCATCTCGTGTCGAGTCGTAGCGTTTCGGAATACCTCCTTTTTCGAATAAGTGAAGTTTCGGAAACCAGGTCCTTCGTACTAACCGGAAATTCTAATCTTTATGGTAGAGTGGTGCTACTAGCTCGACTAGTAACTAGCTGCTAACCCGTTCAATGCCATATTTAGGTTAATCCCCCACTTCCCCCCCCCGCCCATTTCGCACGATCATGTCCGGTCCACTCGCCATTGAATCCCGATACCTATTTTGCATTAGCCAGATACTGGGGTACGGTGGTTAGGACAGCCAATAAATTTTAGGCCTAATTTGGCTCAAAGCTCAGTAATTCCCTGGCGGCTCGTTAATAGATAATTTGGCATTAAAGTTTCAAATCTCCGGAGTATTGATACGCTTGTCAACTCAAGACAAAGAAAAAATCTGTGCACGTCAACGTACTTATTCTTCGCCCCAAAAAATATTTTAATGAACCGTTTTTCTAGTTCCTAATCCGGCCCTAGGCTATGTCATTTTTTGTGATCTATACTCATAACAGCAAAGTTCAGGAACGGTTCCAGAGAGTATCGCACGTTTTCGTCTCGACTAAAAGCTATAATTAATAAAGGTTCTTGTCTAGCGGTGCAATCCTCTGGATTTTCAGAAAGGCCGGTAGCGCTCCCTGAACTTTTTGGTCGGAAAACTCGGCCCAGCTCCAATTTGCCCAATTTTTTACGCCTTCTTCCACTCCCGGTTTTTAGCACGCATAAGTTTTTTTTTCTGGTTCTTATGGATGTAAATTTCCATGAAAGCAGGCGCCAAATTTTCGCCAACTTTTTGTGCTTTGGAAAGTTCCGGACGGCTCCAATTTACCGGGGGCGGTTCTTGGGATTTTTGGCGACAAAAAACC